TGTGAAAGCTAGACAGTGAATAAGGAAGACCATAGAAGAATTGATGCTTTTGAGTTATGGTGTTGGAGGAGAATATTGAAAGTGCCATGGGCTGTCAAAAGAACCAATAGATCCTATTAGGAAGATGTGTAGCCATAGTGCTCCTTGGAGGCCAGGATAGCATACTTTGGACATATTTTCAGGAGGGACCAGTCACTGGAGAAGGATATCATGTTTGTTAAGGTGGAGGGTCAGAGAAAAAGAGGAAGGCCCTCAACGAGATGGATTGTCCATATTGCATCATCTATGGATTCAAGCATGGCAACAGTAGTGAGGTTGGCCCAGGATCAGGCAGTGTTTCGTTCTGTTGTGCATAAGGTTGCTGTGAGTTGGTACCAACTCGATGGCACCTAACAACAACAACCAACCCAACATCTGCTCCTCAGAAACCCTATACAGGGTCATTATGAGTCAGAACCAACTGAATAGCACTTAACAATAACAATCTACATGCTAGATGGAATCCCAGTGTAGTGCTATAGTATAAACACTGGACTGCTAATTGCAAGTTTGGAAGTTCAAACCTACCAGTTGCTCCTTGCCATTATTAGTCAGAACTGCCTGATGGCACTTTACAACAACAATATACCTTGATGCCAATTAGTTATAGAGATAAAAATGGCTTTAAAAAAGTTAACATTAAAAATAATATTTTAGATTTGTTATACTGTTTCCATTAACACAATTCACTTTAAGTAAATAAAATTTCCAATTAAATTTTAATATCTATGTAAAATCCTCATATCCAGATTGTCTGGTATTAATACTTTCAAAACATGACTAATTATAAAATAATACCCTCAAAACGTCTTACATAACCATAGAAGCTTTATAAATATTTGTAAATTATAGAGGAATAACATCACATAGTAGCTAGAACAATAAATGTTAGAAGCAATTTAGCTATGAGAGTGGGCTTCGTATTTTTCAGCTACGTGATAATAGTCAAATTACATTAAACTCATATTAGTGATTTGTTTTAAGATAAAATTTGGTTTTATCTATTGGAACATAATATTCATCTTTGTTGTTATTGTTGTGGTTATTATTATTCCAAGTCATGGGCAGAGAATGTGTGTGTGATATAAGAGTAGCAATGTCTTAAATACTTTTTTGTTTAATTCACAAAGCAGATTCTTTCTAGAAGACCTTCCCTTCCCCTCTTTGGCTCTGTGACCTTGGTTAAGTTACTAACCTTCTTCACACTTCAATTTCCTCAACTGTGAAATGAGGGTGGTTGGTTAGATGACTCTGAAGGTTTGTTTTGGCTCTAACATGGTATGATTCTGTGAAATGGAAAATTAATATATTTGGCTTTGGTAACCTTATTCAAAGCACAAATATTAAAAAGACACAATTAATTCTTATCCTCTTCTGAGTTTCCATTTACTCTATGGAACTAATCATTTGGAATAAATCATTTTGGAAGCACTGATTGATTCAGGTATTCAGTAGAAATTGATAGCGTAGCATTTTGTTTTTGGACAAAACTCTGAACTCATTAAACCGCCAATGCTACAGACTTATATCAGATTCCCATTGAATCTTAATGCAGATAGCTTGGTTAAATAAAGCACATACTTTATTGAACTTATAAAAACCAAAACTGCCTCCAAATGATCACTGAAAAACCTGTTCTCAATTTAAAAGTCTCATTTGTTCAGATTGAGAGTCTTTATGAGCAAATGTGATGCCCTCTATCTGTTGCTAGATCTCCGCATCCGAAGACAGCATTCCTCTGAAAGTGTTTCTAGTATCAACAGTGCTACAAGTCATTCCAGCATTGGCAGTGGTAATGATGCTGACTCCAAGAAAAAGAAAAAGAAAAACTGGGTAAGCCACCATCTGTAACCTAATTTAAAAGTTTACTATTGCCCAATGAGTCAGGAGTTTTCCTTTTGGGCTTTAGAAATATGAAGAAGTTTAAAAAGAATCTCATTCAAACTACTGGCACCTGAAATTCCTCACATATCCCCAAGATCAATGTGAAAAGAATATATTTTAGAGTGGGCGGGTCTGCCACTTACTGATTGTATCTTGGACAGGTTACTATACCTTTTTTAGGGGTGAGACTAAATTTGTTCATCTGTAAAAACAGGTTGTGGGTATAGACATTGTAGAGCTATTGAGAAGAAAAATGAGATGACATATATATTTAGAAAGAGACATATATGTGTAATTAAGGAGTTCTGCTAACTTAGTGGTTATGAGTTGGGCTGCTTACCTCAAGGTCAGCAGTTCGATACTACCAGCTGTTCCGTGGGAGACAGATGAAGCTTTTTGCTCCCATAAAAATTTACCGCCTTGGAAACCCTGTACAGGGTCGCTATGAGTCAGAACCGACTCCACAGCACATAATCACCACCACCACATGTATAATTATCTTATAGCAAGGATTTATTTTGGGAGTAACAAACAAAATTATGATAATGAGGATGGTGGTAGAAGTAGTGAAGGAAGAAGAGGTGAACAATTGAAATTGGAGAAAGGGAAAGATTAAGGTTTAAAAATATCCTCATTAGCAGGATATTTTGCTCCCAGTGTGAGCAAAGTGATGAGAAATCAACTACATTAGGGTCTGCCAGATTTTATTCTTTTTCTTTCTTTCTTGTTTTACCTGGAGGATATGGCAAAACCAGAAATGTACTTGAATAGAACTGTGCATTAGGTTAGCTTGAGATATAACATAATAATATTAATCAACTGATAAAACACTATTGAAGGGAAGATTCTGTCACTGCAAAATGCTTTAAATATATAATATTTTAATGCTTTAAAATAATAAAGATGTGCTTTTATTATTATTGAACAAAGTAGATTTTAAATAAGGACCGTTCTTTATGAAACCCAAACCGTACCTATTAGAGCATATTGCTGCATAATTCTCAGAAAATACTACTGGAGTACATTTTATAAATAATGAAAGAAATATCATTTCTTGTTTTTAAAATAATGTTTCTGTAGGTAATATTTTTAAATACTGATCAGCCTTCATTCCCTTGATTTGTAATTCCACACTCTTTCATGTTTCTGCAAGGTGAACTCTAGAGGAAGTGAGGTGAATATAAACTGGACAATTTGGCATGCATCTATTAAAAAAAAATAAAAAACCCAAACCCTGCCTTGGCATGTATGCTATTTATTTTGGCAGTAGGCTTTTATACCTTTTAAAAACAGATTACTTTGTATGTCTTTTCTTTGTGCCTTTTCATTTTAATCTCAAATTTTAAAGAGAAGTAATAAAACCACTTTCTGAATAGAGCTGTAGGGGATACCAATTCTGGTTCTGAATTGCCTGGGACAGAAAATTTGAATAGAAAATCACAATTAATGAAGTGTTAGGTAAATTTGATTCCATTTTTCTTTTACATATATACTGTCAGCAAGACACGACTTGATTGTAGCTCTAAAGTGGCCATTTAAAACAAATTGCCTTGAAGGGAGAAACCTTACAAATGGAGATCCATTCAAGGCACTGAGTTTTAAATGATTGCTCTGACAGCCATGCCCTTGATCCTGCACTATTTAAAAGCCCATGTTTGCGCTGAGCTGGATTAATACAAGAATAAAACAAAAGTACAACACACGGTATCATTTGTTTTAGAGATACTGTGTTGCAACTGTTAATACTCTGCTTATATGTACTGACCCCAGGCAGTGGCTAGGATGGCACCTGCAAACTAACTCCCCATAGCAAAAGCTTCATAGTACAAAGAGACAAAGATAATTTTTCCTTTCAGCTGAGAAGCTCATTTAAACAAGCCTTTGGAAAGAAAAAGTCTACCAAGCCTCCTTCCTCACATTCAGACATTGAAGAGCTTACGGATTCATCCCTTCCAGCATCCCCCAAGTTGCCCCATAATGTTGGTGACTGTGGGTCAACATCGATGAAGCCCTCACAGTCCGCCTCAGCGTAAGTCACTTCGTCTGCAGATTGCTGGAATACTTTTAATAAAGAACTTTGGGCCAAGCTTATACTTAGGTTCACCACTGTAGCACGATATTGATACTAGTCATTTCCAAACTTTTCTTTGAATTCTGGACAGCATTGACTTTTCTTTCATTTTTCATATATTTGAATTCATGTGTTTCTTTATCATACTCTCTAGTTCTCTGAATCATTCATAATTTCACTTCTTTTTGCTTGCATTTGTCAAACTGTGCATATATGCAGGTCACTCCTTGTCTGGCCACCAAAGAAACGGCAAAATGGCCCTGTGACTTACAAGCATAGATCTCGGTAAAATGGAACGGGATGCATGAGAACTGCATAGATTCCAGTTCTAACCTCTGCAGTGTTTGCTCTTGCTTTTACTAAAATCACTCGCATGCATTTCAATGATCAAAAACTTTTTCTAGCTTTCTATTTGGAGTAAAATTCCATTTCCTAAAACCAAACTGTAATCCACTTTACTTTTATTAAATACTCTAGCATAGTGTTTTTTTGTGGTAGCCTACAATGTAGGGGTACACAAAAATACAACATTTAGAATGTAGAATTGTGCTCTTATAAATTGTTTCTCTTTTGTTTTATATACTATTTAATTCAGACTTTCTTGTATGTGTATGACAGTTACTAGGAGAGAGCTCTGCCATATAAAACAAGACCAGTACCCTTTGGCACCTGGTGGCACTGTAGGATTAGTAATATACCACAGTTCAAACTCCTGAGTGGGATCCATGCGGACAGCACTTAATAACAGTAACAACAAAAACAACACTTTGACATATAATTTTATTACCATACGAATAAGAAGGAAGTACACAGCACTATCATTTCCTGACCAGCAACTTAGTCCTTGCATTTAAACTAGAAAGGATATTAGTTCATATAAAACCAATTGTTTTGACACATTCCCTACAAAACAAACAATAAGGATATAATATATATGACCTTCAAACAACCCCAACTAACCTGCTTCTGTGAGTTGAAACCTGTGATTTTACTTCATTACCTGTGATCTCTTAAATCAGCTGAGCCTACCAGGAAGCTTACATAACACTCAGCCATTCTGTTAAGTGTCCATGTCCATAACTCATCTCTAATTTATTTCCCACAGTAATTCTGTTGAATTTTCATGATAACTGGAAGAAGGTATTGTGGAAGCCAAGTAAAGTCATTCATTACACAAGTTTACAAAAGAAAAAATTAAGAGGTTTTTTTTTTGTTGTTGTTTATTTGTATTTATTTTTTACAGACCATTTTGTAAGTTGCAAATAGATATTTCAGGTCCTTGAAAAAGGATAGACTGAAATATCCTAAGCCTATGGAGTCCTGGAGGTGTGGCACTGTAGGAGAAACACTAGACCACAAGGTCAGTTTGAATCACCAGGTCAGTGGTTCAAACTCACTAGTCGCTCCTCAGAAACACTATAGAGGGTCACTCTGAGTCAGAAGTGACTCAGTGGCACTAAACAACAACAACAATATGATTCTTCAGCCCTATATAACAAGGGAATTCAACAATAACAAGGGAATTTTGAGGGTCTTTTTGTACCCAGTAATAGGAGCTCTGGTAGTGTAGTGGTTGCGAATCGGGCTGCGAACCGCAAGGTTAACAGTTTGAAACTACCAGGTGTCCACGGGAGAAAGATGAGACTTTCAGCTCCTGTAAAGATTTACAGCCTCAGAATCCCTGTACAGGGCCGCTATAAGTCGGAACCAACTCCATAGCACATAACAACAAAAACAACAATAGGAGTCTTCATGTGGCATTATAGGATAATCACCAGACTGCTAACTACAAGGTCAACAGTTCAATCCCTCCAGCCACTCTAGGAAACCTATACAGGGTCACTATGAGTCAGAACTGACTCAACAAGACATAACAACAACAATAGTATTTTCAAACTTAAAAAATTAGGAAGAAACAATTAACAGAAAAATACAGCTACTATTTTCAGTTTTGAGTCCATGAATATGTAACTGTTTGTAAAACTCTTTCTCCATGTCTCTAGGTTTTGCCAATAGCAAATAATGTCTGTATCTACCGGATAATAACGCAGGCCAGCATTTTAGAGACATTGCTTTTCGTAATCCTCTAGCATCCCCAACTGACTTTTGTTCTTTTCCTTCTTCAGGATCTGTGAATGCACGGAAGCTGAGGCAGAGATAATTCTGCAGCTGAAGAGTGAGCTCAGAGAAAAGGAATTAAAATTAACAGATATTCGACTGGAGGCCCTTAGCTCTGCCCATCACCTTGACCAGATCCGGGAAGCCATGAACCGCATGCAGGTCAGTGCAGAAGCAAGTGAGACTAAAAGGCTGATTATTTTCTTCCCATTGCTGTCCTCCTGTGACACTGTAGGATAAGCACTGGGCTGCAAGTTTGCTTCAACTGCAAGGTCAGTGTTTCCAATTCACCAGCCACTCCTCAAAAACCTCATACAGGGTAACTAAAAGTTGGAACTGACTCGATGACACTTAACAACAATAATATGGCTATTATAAAAATGTTCCTACTTGTAAACCCATTGTAGAAATGTGTTGCATTTATTAAATCTTTACTATTTATTACTTACCCAATACAAATGAAGAATTTTGTCAAAGCCAGGGCTGCAAGGAAGAAATCAAACTGGTTAATTGCTCTGCAGGACCATTCAAGACACTTGCATCAGTGATTGGATTCAGATAGAGAGCTAGGTTAAAAAAACCCACACCTACAAAAAACTAGTACAGTTCTCTTGCCTTCCCTTTCCCTTGACTTCCTTTCCTGTATGTTTGCTTCTTCCTTCTTTTGAAATTTGACTTTCAAATACCTTTATCTATTTTCTTTTTGAAAAACAACAGTAATGAGGAAACTACAAAAAGTTAATACTGGTGTCTGAATATGGAAGTCAGAGTGATGTAGAACGCCATCTGTAGAAGTAGAGCTTTTGTATTTCACAGACAACATTTGAAGGCTAAATGCAGAACCCGTCTGTACTCAGCCTAAGTTTTCATTTTATTATTATTGTAAACCAGTAATTACTTGGTACCACAGAAGATTGAAATGACAAAAGCTCATTGCTGAGCATACTCAGCTGCTGCTGTATGTATTCATAAAAAGACTTTTGTTGTTTTTACGAGCTTAGTGCCCAGTTTGAAGGAACAAACACTTTTTTAGATATTAACTATGCTTTTGAAGTAACTTAAATCAGCTTATTTATATTGTTTTTGTCTTTCTCTGGTTTTTCAACTCTTCATGAACTCAGAATATTACAAATGGCATTGTATTATTTGTCAATGAGATTTTAACATTCCTTTTAAAATGAGAAATGTTATGAATTATTCAATTATGTTATTCTTAATGCAAATGAGACCAATCTTGGAAAACTCCTCAAATATATGATATACTCAAGGAATAATAACAACCAATCTAATGGGCAGCAATTCTATATTTCTGAGTGTTATATTCATTTACATGAGAAATAGAAAAAGCTATTTTTCCTTCAGAGGAATTTTTTTTACAGTTGTTCATTAATCATATTACCACATGCTTTTAAAAATAAACAATTTAACTCTGATAAAAGAATCAGTATAATGTTCGTCAATCAGCCAGCTCAATTTTTTTTTTTTTCATGTTTTTCATCTTCATAACAGAATGAAATTGAAATTCTGAAGGCCGAAAATGACCGGTTGAAGGCAGAAACTGGTAACACAGCTAAGCCTGCTCGGCCACCGTCGGAATCTTCAAGCAGTACCTCCTCTTCATCTTCAAGGCAGTCACTAGGACTCTCGCTAAACAATTTGAACATCACGGAGTCTGTTACCTCAGGTGACTTTGTGCACCTTCCTGCATGACCCAAGCATGCGTAGGTCTGAGCAGGGGAGACAGCCTAGAATTTTGAAGAGCTTACTCACCAAAATGTTAACACCCACACCCTCTAAAAATGTTAACACCCTGTTTCTCAGAAACAGTCCTATTTCTCTCTAATGCATGTATCTACATAGTTGTAATGTTAAAAGGACATTCTTTATGAACGAGTGAAGGAAAGTCTTAAAGATACAGTTACTTAGGAATCACATGCTTAGGAATGTTGTTGTTGTTGCTAAGCACCACCGAGTCAGTACCAACTCATGCACAACAGAACAAAACTCATGCCAGGTCCTGGACAAACCTCACATGTATTGCTACGATTGAGCCCATTGATGCTGCAATTTGCCAATCCATCTCGATAGGGGTCTTCCTCTTCTTCTCTGACCCTCCACCTTACCAAACATGATATCCTTCTCCAGCAACTGGTCCCTCCTGAAAATATGTCCGAAGTAGGAGAGGTGAAGTTTGGCCATCCTGGCCTCCAAGGAGCACTCTGGCTGCAATTCTTCCAACACAGATCTGTTGGTTCTATGGGCAGCCAATGGCACTTTCAGTATTCTCCTCGAATGCCGTAACTCAGAAGCATCAGTTCTTCTGTCTTCCTTATTCACTGTCCAGCTGTCGTATGCATATGAGATTATTGAAAATACCATGGCTAGGGTCAGACACACCTTCGTCCTCATGCTCACATCTTTGCTCTTCAGCACTTTCATCTTTGCTCTTCAGCACTTTCATAAGATCTTTTTTGCAGCATATTTGCGTAATGCAATATGTCGAGTGATTTCTTGACTGCTGCTTCCATGAGTGTTGATAGTTGATCCAAGAAGAATGAAGTCCTTGACAACTTCAGTCTTTTCTCCATTGATAAGAATGTTGTTTATTGGTCCAGTGGTGAGGATTTTTGTTTTCTTTACATTGAGGTGCAATCCATACCAAAGACTGTGCTCTTTGATCTTCATCAGTAAGTATTATAAGTCCTCTTCACTTTCAACAAGCAAGGTTGTATCATCTGCATATTGCAAATTGTTAATGAGTCTTCCTCCAATCCTAATGCCACATTTTTCTTCATATAACCTAGCTTCTCAGATTATTTGTTCAGCATTCAGGTTGAATAAATATGGTGAAAGAATGCACACCTTTCTTAATTTTAAACCATTCAGTGACACTTTCTTCATCATTCAATAATTTGCCAACAGACTCCTTCAATAACAAAAGACGAGGCTTGAATTTTTTCTTCAGTTCCCCCAGCTTGAAAAACGCTGAACATGTTCTTCCCTTTTGGTTTTCTGACTCCAGATCTTTGCACATTGTGTTGTAATATTTGACTTTATCTTCTGAAGCAGACCTTTGACATTTTCTGTTCAGCTCTTGGGCCTCCTCATTTCTTCCATTTGCTTTAGCATCTCTACGCTGGAGAGCAAATTTCAGTGTCTGATCTTTTTCTCTCTTGTCTTCTTAATGACGCTTTGCTTTCTTCCTGTGTGATGTTCTTGATATCATCCCAGAACTTAGGAATGTATAGCCTTAATTTGGAGAAGAATGAGAAAATGATAAAAAGTACTCACAAATATAATGATAATAACTTAATGTGTGGCACTGTAGGATAAGCACTGGACTGTAATCAGTTTGAACTTCAAGTTCACTGGTTCAAACTCAAAAGCCACTCTTGGAAACCCTGTACAGGTTCATTATGAATCCAAACTGACTTGATAGCACTTAACAGTGACAACAACAATTTATAATATTTAAAATGTATAAAGTTCATTCACATATAAGGACCTGTTTGTAAAGTACACTATATGTTCTTACACGATGTTACCCAGAGATACCTACATTTCCCAACTCTATTAATGTTTCACCAAACAAACAAAAAGAACATACTGGCTTCTGTTGCATTCAGTGGTATTAATTATGGAGTCCTGGTGTAGCACTGTAGGATAAAGTGCTGAACTGCAAGGTCAATTTGAAGCACAAGTCGTGTGGTTCAAAATCACCAGCCACTCCTCAGAAACGCACTGCGTCGCTATTGAGCCGAAACCTACTTGACAGCACTTAACACAGCAACAACAGTAATAGAACATGGGTATAGTTTTGATTGAATTGCAATTAGAATCATGTGACATAATCCCAAGTTAATATCTAATTAAATGTGGTGCTGAATCATTTTGTATATAGAATTTATTTAGGAAAGATTTACATGAGGATGTGTGGTAATTACAAGGAGACTTGATGGCACAGTGGGTAAGCTCCTGGCTGCTGAACAAAATGTTGGCGATGCAGCATCATCTGCCACTCTGCTGGAGGAAGATGTGGCATTGTACTTCCAGAAAGATTTACAACCTTAGAGAACCTATGGGACAGTTCCACTCTGTCATTTAGGATTGCTGTGAGTCGGCTTAATGGCAGTCCGCGGTAATTACAATGGATAACCAGCAGATGACGCTTGGAAATAGAAATATACTATGTAACTAGATTCAATGATGTAATTGAAACTCTTCATTGTTGTTGTTGTTAAGTGCCATCAAGTCGATTCCGACCCATAGCGACCATGTATAGGGTTTCCAAGGAGCAGCTGGTGAGCTTGAACCACTGACCTTGCATTTCAGATGACTTTGTAGTCTGATGTATTAGCCCACAGCACAGCTCTTCATTGTTTGCCTTAAATTAGCTAAAATTTAGAAGATGGAGGAGGAGGAAGGTGGAAGGAGGAAGCAAAAAGACAACTAAACTTACAGAGCATACTGATATTGATTACATTTTCAGTGAATCACATATTTTCATTCTCAATATTAGCATTTTATGCTGTAATTATTCATCTGGTTTTACAAAAACAAAAACGTGATGAACATTTAAAAAATTCTATAGCATCTTGCTTTCAAAAGTTATAATGCAATACCCCAAATATATACTTGCCTTCATCTTATGTCTCAAAGGCAAATGAAAGTTAATCATATGTAATTCAAGAGTGCTGGTAGCATAGTAGGTCACCTGTTGAACTGCCAATCACAAGATTACCAGCCACTCTGAGAGAGAAAGATGAGACTTTCAGATTTACAACCTCAGAAGCCCTATTCAGAGTAGCTAGGACTGGATGTTGTTGTTAAGTGCCGTTGAGTGAGTTCCGACCCATACTGACCCTGTATAGTTTCCAAGGAGCGACTGGTGAGCTTAAACCACCCACCTTGTAGTTCAAACGTCTTTGCATTATGGTGCATTAACTCACAGTGCCACACCAGGACTGGATAGCACACAGTAATAAGAATTGAGGAAAACTTTAAAACATAGGGGGCTTGAGGGAATCGTTTCAGGACTCAAATAAATGTGAGGACTATGTAGCAAGTAAAACTAATGTTATTAGCAAATAAAGAATTCATTTATGTATTAAATTATTAATTGGATTATTAATTACAATGTCTATTTCAGATTAAAATAGATGTATAGATCACAAGTTCAAAAAAGACTGGAATAAATGGCAGTAACTTTATTGTGTAAATTGTATGGCAAGTATAGTTATCCACACTCTTCAGAAGATACTAAAAAAAGATAAAAACAAAAAATGGAGATATATAGAAGCTGAAGAATTGTCTGTTTGGAGGTGAACCTGCCACACCTGCCACAGGTGTGATCATGCTTTAAATCAAGCAAGTGATCATGCTTTAAATCAAGATATCTTAATTCACCACTTGAAATTGCAAAGTTTTACTACCTGTGTTAAATAATTTTGTTTTATTCTCTATGTAAATATAAGGTTTAGGAGACAAGATTGCTACTAAAGTAATGTAGTAAGAACAAATATGTAGAAAAAACCTAGATGTTTAGGAAAGGATAGAACTAATAGAGATAAATAGAATATCAAGGAAATTAATTTTAAAGTTTGTATGTTTATTAGGAAGTCCTGGTGTGGCACTGTGAAATAAAGCACTGGACCATATGATCAGTTTGAACCAAAAGGTCTGTGGTTCAAACTCACCAGTCATTCCATGGAAACCCTATTCAGGATCATTATGAGTTGGAACTGACTTGACAGCGCTTAAGAATACCAACATGCTTATTAGACTTAATTACACTGATTGTCATCATTGAGAATATATACCAATTTTGAAGGGAAGAAGGCATTCTTTAAGATAATTTTTAAAATATATATATCTTTGTATAATGATCCATTTTATCGTTATATAATTGCGTTTCCTTAATGATTTCTTGGAGTCCTGATGTGGTGCTTCAGGATAAAGTGCTGGATTGCAAAGTCAGTTTGAATCACAAGATTGGCAGTTCAAACCCACCAGCCGCTCCTTGGAAATTCTCTATAGAGTCACTATGGGTCAGAACTGACTTAACGGCACTTAACAACAACAACAATGACTTCTCAATAGTAACACTTGTGTTTTGCACTAAGAAAACAATAAGAAATCAGATGAGTAGGATATCATTTTCATTCACTCTTATTTAGCGGGTTAAAAGATACAAGTCATAAATGCATTATAAATGCATTATTTTAATAGTAAACCTTTCTAGGTTTATTACTGATAAATGAGACAAGTAAGAGGGAGAGAAGATAAGTGACAAATACATTGTTTTTAAAATATAGAAGAATATTCCACATATCCAATTATTTGCTGAGCAAATAATCTAAGAAGCTGGGTTATTTGAAGAAAAGATCAGAGGAAGACTCATTAACAGTCTGCGATATACAGATGATACAGCCTTGCTTGCTGAAAGTGAAGAGGACTTAAAATACTTACTGATGAAGATCAAAACTCACAGCCTTTGGTATGGACTGCATCTCAATGTAAAAGAAACAAAAATCCTCACCACTGGATCAATAAACAACGTTCATATCAACAGAGAAAAGATTAAAGTTGTCTAGGGCATCATTCTTTTTGGATCAACCATCAACACTCATGGAAGCAGCAGCCAAGAAATCAAAGGACATATTGCATTAGGCAAAGCTGCTGCACAAGACCTTTTCAAGTGTTGAAGAGCAAAGATGTTAGCTTGAGGAGTTTGGTGCACATGACTCAAGCCATGATATTTTCAATAACTTCATATGCATGCGAAAGCTGGACAGTGAATAAGGAAGACCATACAAGAACTGATGCTTTTGAGTTATAGTGTTGGAGGAGAATATTGAAAGTGCCATGGGCTGCCAAAAGAACCAACAGATCTGTGTTGGAAGAAGTGCAGCTAGAGTGCTCCTTGGAGGCCAGGATGGCCAGACTTCATCTCTCATACTTCGGACATATTTTCAGGAGGGACCAGTCGCTGGAGAAGGATATCATGTTTAGTAAGTTAGAGGGTCAGAGAAAAAGAGGAAGACCCCTAGTGAGATGGATTGGCAAAGTGGTAGCATCAATGTGCTCAAGCGTGGCAACAATTGTGAGGTTGGCCCAGGACCGGGCAGTGTTTCATTCTGTTGTGCATAGGATAACTATGAGTCAGTATTGACTCAGTGGCACCTACAATAAGATAGAAGCTTGACAGACATTCAGTTTTTGTCAGAATTTCCTTTTATTGTAACCAGAGTAGCAGATATTTTTTATTTTTCCTCAAACTATTGTTAGCAAACCTTACAGAAAATACAAGGACCCCCTCGTCTCATACTTTTTTTTTCCTTGGAGTTGCCTCCTTGGTTAACTTTCTGGTCCTATCAATGTAATGTGAACAGATTGAGACCCATAGTAATTTGTGATGTGATCTTTCCCTGTCCGTAGAAAAAGTTAGTATAAACACACTGAGAAACGGAATAATCACTAGAACAACTGTATAAACTGAGTGGAATAGGAAAAAAAAAAAAAAAAAAAGGTGGGCTGCTGTAAGGATGCTTAACCTGGTCACCTGATTAAATTCAATCAAGGGAGATCCTCTTTGATGATTTAAAATATTCTAGCCAAACTCTCCATATTCTCCAGCTCTATGTATTATTTATTGAATGTTATCATTGTGAAGCAGTATTTTACATTCTTTTTCAAAAATCTGTTTTTTTTAATTGTAAGATAATAGATGTAATTCCACTTTCAGAATTCGTTCTATTAAATTGTTCTTTTCATGATAGTAATAATCCCTTGTGGTACAGTGATAAAAGCATTCAATTGCTAATCAAAAGTTCAGCAGTTTGAATCCACTAGTCACTTAGTGGAAGAAAGATGTAGCAGTCTGCTCTCATAAAAATTACAGCTTGTGAAACCCTAGAGCAATTCTACCCGGTCCTGCAGGGTCATTATGAGTCAGACTCAACTCCACAGTAACTGTAACATAGTCAACACTGCTTGATAGAGCAGCTGAGTCACCCATTTACTGTGCATATGGATTCTCTAGCACACAGTTGAGTTTCCTTTGTCCATGAAACACTATCTTAGTATTAAGCATGACTTTATAATAATATCGTTGTCAAAACAAAATGTATATTTGAAATACTTGGCTTTAATTATCTCCCCAAATTGGATATTAATGTGGTGGAGTAGATTTTGGTAACTAAAATTTTAGTCATATTTAAAGGCTAGAGCCCTGGTGTGGTACTATAGAATAAGCACTGGACTACTAACCATAAGGTTGGCAGTCCAGACCTACTAGATGCTCCTTGGAAACCCTCATATACAGAGTCATTATGGGTCAGAACCGACTCGCTGGCACTTAGAACAGCAATGTTAGCATCCTTCACTAATTTTTAGCTAATTACTAGCAATACTGTTTTTACTATGCAACTATGAGCATACTAGATACAGAATGATAATTAATATACTTCTGTAGAGGTATATGATGCTGTGTGATAGAAATTTAGTAACAGAACTGAATCATTGCAGATATAAAATAAGCCATAATATAACTGGATATGTGCCAAATGCTTGAAAATAATTTGAGTTGACAGTCAATCTCAGCACCTTTTGCATTCACAAACTACATGGGTATTTCAGACTGGATAGAAAAATCAGATTGCTTTTCAGTTTGTCATGGTTATAATTGTAACTGAATATTACTCGGGTATTTTTCAGTCCTGTGTGTAATAGATAAAGAAACCTCCTATTTCCTTATGTAAAGGCAATGGCCCAATGCTTTAGTGAAGGCAGTTAGAAGTAGAAATAAATTCGCAGATTGAAAATTCAATTCAGCTGTAGTAATTGATCTTCCTGAAAGCTTGGGGTTTCAAATCACTTGGGTTTGTATTGGAAGCAAAGAGACTAAATATTTCCAGTGAAAAATACAATACTTGGTGAAGAAAACAGTGATGGTAAACAAAATTGTTAATGTTATTCTACTGTGTGTGTTTCTCTTTTAAAATTTGGCAGATATTTTGCTGGATGATGCAGGTGATGCAAGTGGACATAAAGATGGCCGAAGTGTGAAAATTATCGTCTCTGTAAGCAAGGGCTATGGTCAAGCAAAGGTATTTCTTTAATTTCAAGTTTCTTATTATTAAAGTCTGAGAATAGCTATGGGTCAAATGTATTTTACATTTGAATATCTGTTCTGGTATATATAATACAAGATGTTTGCCTTGGCTATATTATAAAAATATAAAAATAAAAAGGTGACTATATTATACAAATATAAAATTAAAGGATGCTAAAGAAATTACATATACAACCATCATATAAGCAGAAATGTGTCCTACCCATACCTTGATACCTTGTGTTTATTCGCTAAGAGCAGTATTGATTTTCAACTCCATATCCGCTCAGGTTCCATAACTCAAAAAAAAAAAAAAAAGTTGCTTTGTTTATATAAGCATCTCATCCAATCTATTCTTTCAGTATCACATGTAGAGTATATGTAATTTTTATCATATATGTTATAAATAATGCGTGCTGGTATCACAGTAGGTTGTAAGTTGGGCTGCTAATCATAAGATTAACAGCTTGAATCTACCAGTCACTTTGTGAGTGAAAGATGAGGCTTTTTGCTCCTGTAGAAATTTACAGCCTCAGAAAACCTATACAGGGTCACTATGAGTTGTAAATGACTCCATGGCATACAATACCACCACCAGAGCTATTAATCTGGTCTTTGTACAAAGGAAAAAAATATAAACTCTATGCCTATTCTAGACACCAGAAAGTTACATCTTCTACTAAATTCTTTCTGTGTGAAAATACCCCACTGAGGCTATGAGTCTGTATCTTTTTAAAGCATTTTAGTCTTTCTGGAATTAAATATTGCTTTCAAATTGGTGAGACCATTCTGAATCTATTCTTTCCTTTAAACTAAAAAAATGATTATAAGCTGAATATTTAGGTGAGTGGCCATGGTATAAAATTTTTCTAGCAAATAAAAGAAACACCTTTAGAATTTCAAAGTAATTGACATATTTAGGTTTGAAAACCACTTGAGATAGCATTTGTGATTCTTTTTGTAAATTGAGCAAATGTTCCAAGGATTCTATAGCCATAAACTTTCTGCTTGGGTTGCAGACTTGTGCCTGCTTTTCCCAGGTTGGTCTTTATGTGAGAGACTATAATAGTTTCACTGAAGCTTAAACTATCTTTAATTTAAAGCAACTGTTTATAAAAGTATTGTTTAAAAGTATCCAATTTAACTGGGCTATAATCACTATGAAAATCAAGCTTTCTCTTTCAAAACAATTTAAAAATACAATGTATTTGATCATTTTTCTAATAATACTTCTGAGAAATAAATATATATGTGTGTGTGTGTGTATATGTATATATATATATATATGTGATATATACATATATACACACACACACACACACTGGTTCAGCTGTAAAGTTCTCAACTTTTTCAGAAAAACACATTACTTTTAATTCAGGTGATTACTACAAAATGATGGCAATAATAATTTACAAGTATAGGGTTAAATACTATAGAGCCAGCTTTGGGGTTCTGAGTTAGCTATGTGACTTACATAAGGTTGTATTTCTTAATTAGTTGGTAGGGGTTCTAGGTGTAGAAGCCACATCTTCTAACATCTGACTCAGTGATTATTCTGCCATTTCTTTAAGCTCTTCCTAGTTATGATTGAAACCAGGAATGTATTATATTAAATCTTTAAATACAGGGTCGATATGAGTCAGAAATGACTTGGTGGCACTTAAACATCAACAACAGTATCATCATTACCAATATTCCATGTAACCATTTTCAGTTGTCAAATATAACAGGTTCTAGGAATCCTGGTGTGGCACTGTAGGATCAGCACTGAACTGCTAGCTACAAGGTCAGTGGTTCAAACCCACCAGCTACTCCTTGGAAACCCTTTACAGGGTTGTTATAAGTCAGAACTGACTTGATGGCACTTAACATCACAACAAAGTGTAATTGTAGTCTAGCTAGACTACAAAACCTAAACTGTTTACTTTTCTCATATATGCACTTGTTATTAAGTACTGCCTGGTCAGCCCTGACTCATTGTGACCCTGTATAATATTTCCAAGGAGTGACTGCTGAGTTTGAACTGCCAGCCTTGCAGTTAGCAGTATAGTGCTTATTCTACAGCACCACACCAGGACTCCTAATATATGTAGAAACTCCTCAAAATATCATCTGACAAAAAAATATCTATTTGGGGCCACTTTTTTGTTATTGTTATTATTGTAAAAGAATGCTTTACTTGACACATTCAGGCATGCAGGATTCTTTGGTAAGTTCTTTTAGCAATAAATTTCCTGAATAACTAAAAATAAGATATCACCATGAGTAATTTATTATTTTATAAAAACCTGGATTTATTTTATTGAGTATCTAAATGAATAAGTGAGAAAACTGAATTTGAGAATGATCAGAGATAAGTACACAAAGTAGTTGGATGATGTTCTAGGACTTTGACCAGTTGTGTCTCTTCAGATATGTACCCACTGCATTAAAACAGAAGGCTATTTTAATTAAAATAGAAGACTGTTCTTTCTTCTTCCTTTTCTTTTTCAGTTTCCTAATGGGTTTCATGAATCAGTTTTACTTGAATACCACTCTATAGGATCTTTTTGGCCCCTCTCTCTTATTGTTGCTCTGACTTAGGTTGGTTGGTTGGTCATTTCATTTTGGGGGGTCATTTTATTTAATCATTCTTGTGTTTGTTTGTCATAGACCCATAGACTTGATAGATATGTCACTCTTGATCATTAACTAGATTAATAAGTTTCAGTAGAAAATTAATACGTTTCAGAGTAATAAAACTAGATGCAGAGTTGGATTTAATCTCACTTTACTTTGTTCTTATTTAGGATCAGAAGTCTCAAGCATATTTAATAGGATCCATTGGTGTTAGTGGAAAAACCAAGTGGGATGTTTTAGATGGAGTAATTAGACGTCTCTTTAAGGTAAGTTATAAAAGATGATTGATATTAATATTCAAATATGTTTCACTGTGGAATTTCTATTGACTTTTCTAGCTTTGACATATTGGTATCTGTGCTCTTCTGTTTCAGATATTAAGGAGAGTTTTTTCTTCTTGTACTGTTTGATAAACAGTTCTTATGTTATCCATTTCTAAAATTCTTGACAGATAGCTTCATATCCTCAGGAGTTTTGTTGTTCTTGTAGATGAGTTGACCCATGGTTTTGACTTTCCATTTTGTGTGTGTCATTATAGGAATATGTGTTCCGAATTGATACATCCACCAGTCTTGGACTGAGCTCGGACTGCATTGCTAGCTACTGTATAGGAGATCTAATTAGATCCCATAGCCTAGAAGTGCCTGAACTGCTGCCTTGCGGATATCTTGTTGGAGATAATAATATCATCACTGTGAACCTGAAAGGTAAAAAGAAAAATGAAGAGACAGAGTGTGTTTTGTTAAAACTAGCATTTCTCTTTTTTGCAGTTTCTCTTAAGATTTTCATGTATGAAAATTATGTTAACAACTCTGTAATAGTTTTCATATGAAATGAGTCTTATTGATTAAAAACTAAAATCCTATTAAAACACATAAATTCCAGTAAATGAAATTCTTCAAGTCCTGGGATATAAAACTAGGAATATTATTTTGCGTATTCCCCAAGACTCATGAAACAAAAAATGTGATTTGAACAATATCAAATTTCTAGGCTTCCTTCATTAGCATTTTATATTTAGAAAGGATCAGAAAATGTAATGTATATTCCAAAGCAATATATTCATTTCTATATCTAATTTTAAAATATATGTCCCCAATAAGTACCCCTTGGGGAGAGAGGATGATAGCCAAACACCATAAATGAGAAATTCTGATTTCTCTGCTTTAGGTGATGTGATAAATCATTGTTGATGTTGTTACAACTGAAGCATACTTTATTCAATAATTCCTTGTTCATATATGAGAATATTGCTTAAAAATCATAGAAACCTTTAATAAATAAAAATATCAAAATGTGAATATGTTATCTCTCAACATATCCTCCAAATAGATCTATAAGGCAGTGTTTCCATCTCTCTCACACTTCCCAGTATTGGTTTGAACTGCAAGGTCAGAGGTTCAAGCTCATTAGCCACCCCCTGGAAACCATATAGAATGTTGCTGAGTTGAAAAGGGCTCAAAGACACTTAGCAACAATAACAAACCCTTCCCTGAAGAATGCTGCACTCTTTGATTTACACCATGTCTAATGGCAGCATTGGCATCCTCAAGGGATACAAACCATGTTCCTTTTAAATGTTCTTTGTATTTTGGGATCAAGAAGAAATCTGAAAGGGCAAGATTGTAGGGTATATGGGATGGATTAGGTTTCCTAAGGGAATTCTTGTAGGACAGCTCTTGCTACTCTCAAAGGATGAGCGGCTCTTATAATGGGGGTGGGGAGAGGAAGGGCGATCCTTCCACAACTTGACTAGTCAGTTTTTCACCAGTTCAGTTTTCTAATTTTTCTTAAAATTTCTTCATTTTAAGTCCTTTGATCACCCTGTATCCTTTGACTAAATCTGTCAAGATTGCCCCTTTGGATTACCCCTTCAGAGTTCCCAAAAAAGTATTGTCATAACCTTTTGAGTAAACCTCTCTGACCCAGAAGATCCAGTCTGAAGCCCTTGTTTGATTGCATCTTGATTTTTGAAGGCATCCTAAGGAAACTGAAACAAGTGTGTTACTGAGAACACTTGTCTGTAGGTGTCTAGTGATCACAGAGAAATACTTAAATGTACTTTGTTTGAAACAAGCCTGTGCATGTATAAACTGGAACCCTAGTAGCAATACTTTTTGACTTATCCATTCATATTAAAGAATCAGAACACATCTATATAATCTGTTGGTTAATGGGGGTAATTTGCCAATATCTGTTTTTGTGGTTATAGTAATTGGATTAGTAAAGGAAGATACTGTTACTGACTTCCAAATTCCTTGTCAAACACCACAATTTGCAGTCTTCAAAAGCTGGGATGTTGAATGAGATAAAGAGAACCAGGGAAAGGACAGAAAGAGTAAGAAGCACATATATATGAGGGAGCTTCAAAAAACTCATTTTAAAATTCCATTTCCCACAAACTTTTGAAATCCCCTTATATATGCATAATTATAGTTTTCACATTGATTCTTAGCAAAACCATATTCAAAGGGAGACAAGAGTTTATAATAGAATATACAGAAATAGAATATGATGAGACTTCAAAAAGTTTGTGGGAAAAAATGAAAGTAAAAGATAATGGAATGCATAAACTGTGATGAGAGAGAGAAGAAAAAGGGCTGGATGGTCCAAAGTACGGTGAGACCTGGGGACTCCTGAGCCCATGGACAAGGACATAGCCTCGGAGGACTAGAGCTGAGAGTGAAGCAACCAGCTGATAGGAAGTGAGGGGAGACATGCAAGAATGCCCAAACTAGCAGATGATACCCATTTGACCTAGCATCAATAGCTTGATAATCAAAACTTGACTAGAGGAAGATAAAAATTTAAAAATTGATAAAGGAAACAAGTGTAAATTGCTACAATGTGATGAAATTGACCCATACTTATGGATTTAGTAGCTCAAAATACCAACTGAGAGGGAAGGAGTCTTCACATCAAGTATCAATGCTATCCCCTTTGTATACAGGGTAGATAGGGATGGGCAACTTAGACACTGGCAATCTAAAATGAGGGGGCAATAAAGGCACAAAGTGATTGGCTTATAACATTTCAAGAGGGAATTTAGTTTAAGAATGTGTGGGGAGTCCCCGCTAAATCACTTTCATCTTGTCTAGATGGGTCTGGTGAAAAGAGATGGGATACAATTCTTATGATTCAAGAGTGAGTAAATGTTATCATGACTAATTGCGACTGTCACGACTGTAAAGGTAGAATTTTTATAACAAAAATGGGGGAGTTGTTAATCTAACAGTCCAGAAACAGGGGACCCTAGGTCCATTAAGGGAGAAGAGCACAAGCAGAATGTGGAACCCTATCCAGAGGAGCAGCGACACCAGCGATGGAGGCAGAGATGAGGGCATGGAGAGAGGGCGCAGCTGAGGACTCTGGACTCATAGAAAGAGATGGCCTGGGTGCTGGAGGCCAGAAGGCAGGCTTGCAGAATTTGCCCTTTGGTAGTTTAAATTATTATATATTCCTGAGTGTTTTTGTGTACACCCCCCAAAAAACAAACAAACAAAAAAACCCAGAGGGAATGGAAGCAAATATTGTTGAAGGATAATGCACGGAGGAGATTGTAATCTAAATGAAATGATGGTATAAGCCAATGTTCTCCCATGTAAACTATCACTTAGTTCACAATAAAAATTAAAAAAAAAAAAAGATAATGGAATGTTTCCATGAATTTTTTGAAGCCACCTCATATGTCTCTGGAAACAAACACCCAAAATATACACATTGAAAATAAAGCCAACCAAAATTATTCATCTTCCTTTAATTTGTGTGTTCACTGCCATAGTGTTGGTGTTTTCTGACTTAAAATGACAACACATCTTTAAGGTTTAGAAATAGCAAGGAAAGTATTTTGCAAGGATTGCATTCCCAGTCTAACACAGCTCTGTTGATTTGTGTTATATTTTACAGTTTAACTTACACAGAACAATAAGTCATGTTATTCCTTTTGTGTCTTCTTTCAGGGGTAGAAGAAAACAGTTTGGACAGTTTTGTTTTCGATACTCTAATTCCTAAACCAATTACCCAAAGGTACTTTAACTTGTTGATGGAGCATCATAGAATTATACTCTCAGGACCAAGTGGAACTGGAAAAACTTATTTAGCAAACAAACTGGCTGAATATGTAATAACCAAATCTGGTAGAAAAAAAACAGATGATGCAATTGCCACTTTTAATGTGGACCACAATTCAAGTAAGGTAAGTAAGTCATAAAATTCTAAGAGAAAGGCTGTTGTTTTTCCATTCGTGTCTTAAGCAATTAAGTTTTGTGAGTGTTTAAGACTTCTTTATCATATATTAACCAAAATATCTACTACTTTGACTCAAACTAAAATCTGGCTAATGACTAACCCTGTTTAATGAAAGACTGACATTCAGTAGCATTCAACAACTATCAGGAAGTCAAGGACCCATGGTAGTTTCAGATTTAAGCACTTAGCTGCCGATTGAAAGGTCAGAAGTTTGACGCTATCAGCTGCTGCACTGAAGAAAAGACCTGGTGATCTGTTTCTGGGTTAAAAATAGTGTCACTATGAGTTTTAATCAATCCCATGGTCCACAACACTAGGTACTTCACAAGCCATTGATGCGATAGAAAAGAAAATGAGGTCTTAATTGATGAATTTCTTTTAGACATTGTGTTATGAAGTGTTAGTGTAAAAAAAAAAAAAAAAAAAAGGTCCATACAAACTATTGTGGAAACAAGAAGGAAGAATAACTTCCGGGAGGAATAAGAGTTTTACATAAAAGGCAATACTTGTTCTGAGTCTGAACAGATTAGTCAAAGTAAACTTGGGTGATGCCGGAATAGGGATTTGTGAATAGTTAGAATCTTCTAGACAGAAATTCTGGGAGCAGCACGTACTTTGTTAATGTCACATTCCCATAGGAATTTTAATTAAGAACCTGGGAAACTGATCACTGCTACATTTTGCCATCAACTGTGGTCTAAATAGTGCTATAATATACACATAAATGTTGTCAGCTATTAAACAAGTTAAAATGAATCTGTATTTTTATATATTCTGAGTAAAATGCTGAATGCTAAAAAGGAAATGGATGATTCCTAACATATTCCTAATATTAGACTATTTTTACCTGTAATTATTCCTTACAGTCTGAATCAATTCAACCTAAGGTTGTCTTAGGAAAGTGTAACTGTTATAAGCAATAACTTGAGAGAATATAGATGATACTAGGTCATGATTTTCTCCAAAGAAAAACTAGCTAAATGATTTAAATGAACCCAATATTTCAGAAAACTCAGACCTGGGAATTTAAGAAATAAACCAAATTCCCAACAGTGACCAAACTCATTGGATTTTATAAAAATCTAGACATACAATTTTGCGAACACAAAGTTCTTAATGGAGTAGTTCATTTAGTCCTTAGTACAGATCCGCTATGAAATGATCGAATTTGGTTCCCTCAGATATGAAATGGGAACTACAGTAGGGTGGTTGTTGTTATAGCAACCTTGTGCACCACAGAAGCAAACACTTCCCAGTGCCATCCTCACAATTGTTGTTAAGCTTCAGCCACTGCTGCCACTGTGGCTACTCCATCTGTTTTTCTCTGACCAAGCATAGTGTCCTTCTCCAGGGACTGGCCACTCCTGGAAATATGTCCAAAGTATAAAAGACAAAGTTTGGCCATCCTGCTTCCAAGGACCATTCTGACTGTACTTGTTCCAAGACAGATTTGCTTGTTCTCCTGACAGCTCATAATACTTTTAATATTCATCTCTGACACCATAACTCAAATGTATCACGGGTCTTCCTTATTCATTGTCCAATTATCACATGCATATAAGGCAGTTGAAAATACCATTACTTGGATTAGGCACACCTCAGTCCTAAAACTTATATCTTTACTTTTTCACACTTTAAAAAGGTCTTGTACGGTGACTTTGCATACTACAAGATGTCATTTAATTACTTGACTGTTGTTTCAATGAGTGGGGATTGTGTATCCAAGCAAAATGAAGTTTTTAACAACTTCAATCTTTTCTTGATTTATCATGATGTTATTGGGAGAATTTTTGTTTTCTTTACATTGAGAGGGAACCTATTCTGAAGGCTGTTGTTTTTTTATCTCTATCAGTATGTATTATAAATCCTCTTTACTTTCAGCAAGCAAGGTTGTATTATTAGTATATTGCAAGTTGTTAATGAATCTTCTTCCCATCCTGATACCCCATTCTTCTTCATACAATCCAGTTTCTTGGATTATTTCCTCAGTATACAGATTGAATAAGTATGATGAAACAATACAACCTTGGTACATATCTGTCCTGATTTTGAACAATTCAGTATCCCCTTGTTCTCTTTGAACAATTGCCTTTTGGTCTGTGTACACATTCTCATGATTATAATTAAGTGTTCTAGAAGACTCAGTCTTCACAATGTTTACTATAGCATGTCATGATCTACTCAGTCAAAAACCTTTTCAGAGTCAGTAAGACATTGGTAAACATCTTTCTGGTCTTCTCTGCTTTCAGTAGTGGTTGTGGTAAGGACAAAATGAGTGAAAACCACACCAATAGCAAGCATAGTATAGTAGCAAAGCAAGAGTTCCCTGCAATTATCATTTATAACCCTTGGCAGCTAAATCACTGGGCTGACATAAATAACTCTCACACACATACAAATCTTTGTTCAAAATTGCTTTGTATGCACTCTTTAAGGAGAACAATGACAAACATAAACTTCAAGGAAATCAGTTAAGGTTATAAAACTATAGGGCAAAAATACCAAATATTTCTTAATTTTGTGCCATCAAGTCAGTTCTGACATGTAGCGACCCTGTATAGGGTTTCTGAGACTGTGCATCTTTCTGGGAACAGAAAATTTCATCTTTCTCCCATCTTTGAATTCTAATAAAAAGAAAGCCAATCCAAACCCACTTTCATCAAGTTTGATTCCTACTCAGAGCGACCCTATAGGACAGGATTTCCCCAGACTATAAATCTTGCAGGACCTGCTGACTTTCCAGTTAGCAGCCCAGTACTTAAGTCACTGTGCCACCAGTGCTCCTTCTTGGAACTCAGTACTATTAAAAGTGTACTTGAATCACCCATTGTCATTTCAACTAAGAGACACATGGAACCTGCAATCGAATATATGGCTTTTCTCTAAACAAAAGTATGAAACACATGGTTGGTTGTTTCAGCATACATGTTTCATTCCTCCTGTGAATTCTCTATCCTTATGTCTTTATATCAAAGCCTTTTCACCCAATTTTTCTTTCTTTTGAGCCAAAGTAAATGAAAGATTTGAGGTCTCTTAGTTATCCTTAGTTTGGGTTGGTTTTTTGTTTATTTGTTTGTTTTTGGTTTCTCCTCTATATATGAGAGAACTCTTTAAAGTTTCTTTCTAGAAAAAAAAAAATTAGTAAGTGCAGAGTAAATTCATTACATAGACCAAGGAATTTTAATGAAGTCTGAGATAACTTAAAATCAATATTTTAATAAAGTAAATCAACTTTGAATTCCATTTTCAAAATAATAAGAAATACACATTTTCAAAGATGTCGTTTGACATGCAAAAATCAAGTAGGTTAATTTATATTAATTGTTATAATTGCCTCCCACACAAAACCTGCTATGTTCTCTTTTTCTATAAGTTTTTAAAAATGTTTAGTGCTTGGAGATGCTCTTCATTAATATTCTCATGTGAATGTTCTTTTAAACGTTTTGATCAAATATTCTCAGCACTGTTATTTTCTGCCTTTTCAGAAGAAAAATCATTTGTGTGAATTGTCAGTTCAGTTTTTTCTTACTGCAAAATAATGAAAAATCAAGCATTGCCAAGAGTGTTTGAACAGAACTAATGATGCTAGGAAACCATAATAAGTAGAAACCCATAGACAAATCACTTGGGATACAGCACCGAGAAAGCACAAAATGCAACTAGACAAATGTTTATTGTTGCCATTGTGTTTGGAAGATATGAATGAACTGTCAATAATGCTGGATACAGAGTAGTTGGCAAAGAATTTGGCCCATTCTTGCCAAATTGTCAGAGAATACACATTTTGGTTTTTGTTTTGCTTTGGAGAGTGGGGTGGGGGGACTGGGAGACAGTGAGAGTAGAATGACAACCTGAGATTGTGTTAGGGATAGCTTTTGACAGTTTATAATTGCTAGAGTAAAATGTGAATACAGAATGAAATAGTAAATCCTTTGTCAGAAAATATTCAAATTTAATTTCTGATGTGCTTTTTGCTAAGTAATAGCACTGACGAAAACCAAAAAGCACTTACTGACTCAAGAAAAAAGAAAACAATAAGCCATCAAATGAAAAAACATCTTTTCATGTTTTTTGATACCTCTGTATTTTACATTCTGTTCCTCTTCCCACTCTCCAAAGCCTCCCTCAAGCTGCCAGCTGGAATATTTTGATTGAGAGACATACACATAAACAATTATACTTTGTGACATTTGATATAGCAAACCCAGAAGGCTGGAGATGGATTTAGTAAAGAATACACGACCATCTGAAGCCTCTTGGAAAGTTAGATAGGAAAAAATCTGAAAATTAGACTTGTCAGATTCATTTTTTAGTGTATCTGGCATCAAAACCAGAGGAAACAACAGTTTTTATGTAACTGTGTTTTATGTAAACTGTGTTCTGTGTATATTTTCCTAAATATGGGATTAGTGCCCATTAAGTAGATGTAAGCTTTTATTCTGCCTGACTAGATCTTGAACATAAAACTTTTGATGGCAGTGCATCAATACTTCAATCTAAGATTTTACCCCAATCTAGCAAGAATGAGGATCACAATGTGATGTCAAAGGGACCGATGGACAGCTCTTAAGTTTTATGACAAAATTCTATATGTATGTATGGCTATGTGTACATCTAACTGGTCCATCACATTCATTGATTCCCAAAGGGATCTGCTATTCCAAAGAGAAAGAACCATGGTCTTCCAAAAATCACTTCTTTCCAACCCACTCTGTTTCTCTCTTTGTCTTTTAACCTATGTATGTCAAGCTACTGCAGCTGACCTCTTCCTTGGACTCTTCTGACTTTTTTTATAATTTACAGTATTCTTTCCTTGCCCTCTTCCTTCTCTCTAGTAAGCTTTTCCTGTGTCAATATCCTTGATCACCTTTCTTTAACCTATTAGTTAAATGAAAATCTCTCTCTCAGCATTCTGCTCTTTTTTTTTTTTTATTGCTGTACTCATAT